TTTAGTTGTTTATGAAATAATACAAATAAAGCCTTAATCTAACCAAATTTCTAGGAAATAACAAAACTTCAAAGTCAATCATACAACCTCAACATGAAGGTAGAACGAGTACTATATATTATATAATGAAATGAGATTATAACTCATCGTGAAGTAAAAGACACAGATCTCAATCGCATTATACAGTAACAAAACGTTTATAGCAAGACTTTGATACAGTTTATATTTCATAATATACGATTTCTCTTAACAGTTGCCTGAATCAAGTACTTGCTTAAATTTCTAATAAGTTTAACATTTTTGCTAGACAGAAGCTCTATTAATTTAAACACAGAAGGACGAATACGATAATGAGGCTTGATATACGATACTCTTAATTCTAAAAACACAGGACACATAAGAATGAAATGAAACTCATCCTCGACATCTCCAAGATCACTTAAAGTACACAATCTCTGGTTTCGAGGCACTGTATTATATCTACCTGTCTCTATATTAAGGTTATGTGATGCTTGCAATTTATACTTCGCAAGAATACATTTATTTTTTCTAAACAGCGGTTTTGTAAAATACCATTGTAGATCAAAACGGTCAACAATGTGTTTATACAACAAACATTTTGAAGATGTCTCGAATAAGTTTCTCATTTCCTGAATAAAACTATCCTTTATGCGTTGTATATATAATAATAAAAAAGATTTCTCATTTGGTACACATTGTGCCAACCACACATCTCCAAAACCCAACGTACACAAATCACGTCTCAGATGATAAACCCAATTTGCTTTACAATTTGGTTTCCTGTTATAAAGCTCTAAGAGTTCATCGTAACAGGCCCTCCAAATACAGTTATTAGTCTTTAATATTTGCAGACAGTACAATAGCAATCCTACGCTGTATATGCAAAGCGTAAAGACCAAGTTCAAAATACACCATGGCATTATTTACTGTTTTTCTGACACCCAATACGGTTTTCAAAAATAATAAATGTATATTTTCAACCTGCGGTGCAGGACTATAACTCCATACTTCACACCCGTAATTCATAATACATGATATATAAGTATCAAATAAAGATAACATCTCTTACATTTGGGATAGATAACAACATCTGCCTCTTGGCTGTTGGACTTGAACTTTACATTGGAGATATGATATACATTTGAGGGGGGTCAATTTGAGATTGCTATTACTAAACTTTACTATTCTTAATATGTGAATATTGGTAATGTATTTTAAAATTGTAATATATTGTGACTCTTATGTAGTGGTGTTATATTCTATATTATCTGTTTAAAAGTGTAATGTAAATATTTGACTGTAAACTCTACATATGTATAAGGATAAAAATATATCGATTACATATAAAGATATTTGAACCTCAAAAAAGTATTAAAACCTTATTTTTACCCAACAAAGCTACAAGTCGCACAGGTAACTTTCACACAGGTAAGTTACCTGTGGCAGAGACGTATAATACGTCTAATGTATTATACGTCTCTGCCTGTGGGGTAAGTATGAAACAGACTATAATTGGTTTGCCATTGTCTTCCTAAATCAACATTTTCCTTTGTTAAATAAAAAGTGGGGGAAACGAGAACACCCCGTAGACAGTCCGTTGAGCCTTCATCACTGACCTGACTGGAGACCCTACTAATATATATACAAAAGAGAATTAACCCCCTATTGTTTAGAGTATAAGTAGTGGTCTCCTTGTTTG